CTCCCAAGTGGCGCACTGTAGCAGTGTGCCACCGGGCCGGCCCCAAGATTAACTTTTAATTTAACATTTAACTTAATGTGTCCAGACTGTATCCTCTGATTGTAGACCAACCCAAATAAAGTGAACTTCCTACTCTGGGCACATAGCAGTGGTTTAACTTACCCCAAGTTCTATATCTTCTGAATGGAGCTTGGCTTGGATTGCTGCAAATCCACCTAATTCTCCAAACTGAGAAAAAAAAATGGCACAAGTTAATTTTAAAATGCTAAACATTAATAATTTAAGCAAGTAACTAATGCCCACATCCTACTTTATCACTGTGCTCTATAACACTGGTCTCAAGAGAATCGTCATGAAGATAATTCTAATGCTCCTGTGGTATGCTGCAGGAGATGTACTAAGTGCAAAAGCTGATGTTCATCTGTACATACGTTGTATATACAAAAAAAGAAACTATAAAACCTATCTTCTTAGGAAAAAATTCTGATTATTCTCTGTAGCTGTCATTTGCTCAAAATACCAAACTGTGGGAAATCTCATTAGAAAATGGAAAACATATTACATGACCATGTTAATAAAAGTTGTGTACCTTATTTACCAAATCCACAACCCATCCATGAGGCTCCTATGAGAAAAGAAAATTGAAATTGAGATGACAATATAAAACTTCCCCATTAACCCTTACATTTCTTTTATCTTAAATGAAAAGTAAGAGAAAAAAATATAAAAATTCGAAAAATATTTTAAAAGGTTTTTTCCAAATGTTTCCTAATGTGAGTCTTTGACTTCACTGTATACAATTTTGGGAGTCTATGCCACAATGTGGAGCATTTTATGTATTTTTGGATAACTGAGATCAGTTGGTTAAGCTCGCCAAGCTACAGGATAGTTTGAGTTAAATTCTCTAAGGAAGTTATATTTTAGAAATTAAGAATTAATTAGCAACCCAAACAGCAGTAAATCAGGAATCAAAAGATTAAAGTTTTAGTCCCAGCTGTATCATTACCTAATGCCCTTAATCAAGCCTTTTCTTTTCTCCTTCTCTTTCTTTCTTTCCTTTTCCGAACATTCACTGTTCTAGAGACCGGATATAGAACAGTGACTAAGAAGAGATGTGGTACCTGCTTTCACGAAGCTCGTATTCTAGGAGGGCAATTAAAACGAAGTAAATCACCACATACATAAGATAATTCCAATTGTGCTAAGTCCCACAAAAGGAAAAACAAAAGGCACTCAACAGAAAGATAGGAGGAGCCTTCTTTACTCAGGGTATGGTCATGAAAGAGCTCTCTGGAGAAGCAATCTTTATGGTGGAACCTAAAGAACGATATAGATTTAGCCATTTAAAGAACAGTCCAGGCAGAGAGGATGAAATGGCAAAGGTCCTGTTTGGGGAAGGCAGAAAAGAGCCTACTCTGTTTGAAAAACTGAGAGAAAACTCTCCCAGTTGAGACGTGGTAAGCCAGGGGAGAATGCCATAAACGAGGCTGTAGAGAGAGGTGAGGCCAGATCATGCAGAAACTTGTAGACTGTGATTAGAATAAAAGCAACAGAAACGTCTTAAGCAAGAGAGGATATCATGCTTTGTGTTTTGAGAAGAGCACTCTTTGGGTTCTGTGGAGAATGGAAAAGGACGGTGGGATGACGGTGAGAAGTAGACATCACCAGTTAGAAGACTAGGCAGTGATTCAATAGGTCACAGTTGCATTTGGAGTAGGATGGTAGAAGAAGAGAGAGAGAGAAGTCAAATGGAGATATACTGAGATCATATCAAAGGGCCTATTTTTGGTTTGGGTATGAGAAATAAGAAATAGGTATGAATTGTGGCTCACTCCTGTGTTTTGGGCTTGAGCATCAAGGTAGATGGTGATGCAATTATTGAGAAGGAGAAGAATACAGGCTGGGGAGGCAAGATGAAGTTCCATTTTAGGTGTACTAAGTTTGAAAATAGTGGGGCAACCAAGAGGTGATAGGTGACTCTTCTTCAAGTCTGTTGTGCTCAGAGAAGAAGTTCGGGCCACACACACAAATGAGAGGACCATCAGCATAAAGGTGACATTTAAATCCATGAGAATGGAAGATATTTCTCAAAGTACCATGAATAAAGAGAGGAAGGCCCTAGATCAAAGCTGGCGAAGGAGTCAACGAAGGAAATGTGGCTTGTGGACCATCAGCATAAAGGTGACATTTAAATCCATGAGAATGGAAGATATTTCTCAAAGTACCGTGAATAAAGAGAGGAAGGCCCTAGATCAAAGCTGGCGAAGGAGTCAACAAAGGAAATGTGGCTTGGGGGGTAGAAGAGCAAGAGACTGAAGTGTTCTGAAAGGCAAGTAGAAAACATCTTTGAGGAGGGAGCAACTGGGACCAGTGCTGTTGGTGGGGGCAAGGGACATCTCCTTCCAAACTGGAGACCTGGGGGTGTTGGTGCCTTAACAAGACTGATTTCAGTGGATGGCAGAAAAAGAAGGCAGAATGGAATGCTCTGAAGAGTTCATGGGGACTTTCAGCCGAGTTATCCTAAACAGCTCTCCAACTGAAAATAACAAACACCACTAAACATTAAAAAAATCTTCTAAGGGCCGGCCCGGTGGCACACTGCTGGATCACAACCCAGGTATGCTATTGTGCAGAAATATCGTTGCGATCCCGTTGCCGGTCCGGGTCCGGTCCGGGCGCAACACTGAGGGTTGCGATCCGTTGCCGGACACGAAAAAAGACAAAAAGGAAAAAAAAAAAAATCTTCTAAAACAA